TTTTTTTTTTTCTTTATTTCCATTCCTTTACACCGCTGCCTTTCTCCTGTTGACTTTTTTGTTTGTGGTCCTCTTTTCTGGTCGAGTCGCATCCTTCTGCCGGCTCACCTGAACCTGCCTCTCCAAGCCTGGCATCTCTGAAAATAGGTGAGGAAGGGACTTGCTGGAAGTTGTCCAGTCTGCCCTAGACCCCAGGGCAGGATCAGCCACACCTCCATGGTCCTGACAGATGCCTACCTAACCTCTTAGAAACCTCCAGGAATGGAGATTCTCCATCCTCCCTGGGTAATCTGTCCCAGGGGTTAACGGGCCTAATGTGTATCCTCAATCTCCTTTGCTGCAATTTAAGCTCATTACTTGTCATATCACCAGTGTCCAGCTTTTTATTCCTCCTGCCTTTGATTAACACTATCAGTCCTGAGACTTGCCTCATCTCCTCTTCTCCCTGCAGTGTGAGGCACACAGCGTGCTCCCAGGCTTGCTTCGTTTAAGCCATCCACAGCCCAGACTCATTCGAAGCTTCCTAAAGACTTGCTGCTGTAATATCTACAAGAAGAAAGTTTTTCATGGGGGAAAAAGGGCCCCTCTGCTCAAATAGTCCTTTCTCTAGGTTTTCCAGTGCACATGCTTTGTAGCATCTGCTTTAAGGTATGCCTGTGCTCCAGTCACTGCTCTGAGCACAGGCTGCACAGATATACCTAAGTTCCTGGTAGCAGTATAACCGCAGTATCACAGAGCCCAGTGTGTCTTTATATTTAGGTAGTTTAAGGAAGGGGGTTGCAGCCTCTGCTGAATTCTGTAATGCTGTGGCTGTGCTGTTAGCAATACCTGAACACCTAGTTTAATGCTATGTCAGATAAATCTTCGTGCAGTATAATCAAGGTAGTGACTGCTAGATAGACATGTCCTTCAATTGTAAGATCCCTCCAACAGACATCCTCTTCATTTTTGGTCTGAGTATTTTGTGCAGTGCTGAGCCTGTTGTTGGTATGCACTGTGCGCTAACCAAGGCATAGTTGGCCCATAATGCATTGCACAAGAGCTGGAAGTAAGTGGGATTATGCCTAGAACAAACAGAATCGTGGAACATCTGATGTCCACAAAGAGCAGATGGGATCTTGGATTTTTAAGACCTTTCCCCGCCCACCCTCCTTCCTCCCAACAAGGAAACTTGGAAGCTTAACTTTTATTTTCCCTTTCTTGGGCAAGAAGGGCTGAGTTGAACTTGTTGGGGCTTGTTTATTCTATCCTAGGAATATAAGTGTTTCAAATATAATCTGCTGCTGGGCTTGAACAGAAAGTATCTTGGTTAAAGTTTTTTTTTTTTTTTTCTTTCCCTCTCCAATCCCCCCCTCCCCCCCCAGCCATTTCCCACTCTTTGTGTATTTCTCGGCTTGGAGAGCAAGACCCTGCTGGCTTTCTTCCTGACGCGGTGTGCTGACCCAGTGCTGGACCACTGAGCCTGAAGAAAGTTGGCTTTGGTTCCAGTATGGAGTTCCTGGCGTCTTGCCCAACACAACCTCTCTTTTGGTCTCTAGTCTCCTTTCGAGCCTGGCATTTTCCTCGGGCATGTCTGCAACCTCCTTATTCAGTATTGTTGCGGTTAGGAGTTCTGTGGCTGTGCTGAGCAGTGCTTGTTCCTGGCTTTGGAGATGTTCACCATTTTTGTCCAAGCAATTAGCTTCCTTTCTGATGGAAACTGTCAGTGCCGTTTTGCTTCCAGCTGGTCATCAACCACTTTTGTTTACTTCAATACCATAGAAGTGGGGCAGTGTAAGAATGGGAAGAGTGCTGCATCCTTGTGAAAGAGAAATAGCTCTGTATGACTTTTTAAATTTTAACTAAAGGGTGTTAAATACTTTATACTGGTTTGGAATGACACCTGTATGAGCTGTCATGATGCAGCTGTTCCATCTGCCTGGTCCTGTAGGATATAAGTGGTGTAACTGGTTTCATTCAGGGTTAAAATGTGTAGTGATTTAGCTCCTATATA